CGCCCCCATACGAACGACAACTCTCAGAAGTTGAGAAACTTGTGCGAGCTAAGGACTAACGAGGTCTTACCTTTTAACGTGTGATTCCTAACACGGAATATTGTAATACATAAGGTTACATACTAGCGAGTAGTGAATGAGAGGAGAGATGATGAGAGTATAAAAAGTATTCATCATTCGAGTCGACCAACAATGACTTCACGAAATTTGTTAGGGGTTCTTTATGTATGAAAGATTTCAGTTCTTTTTTGAAGCGATGTGGATTCTTAATCAATTTTATTTCATGTGGAAGTGTGTTGTATAATTTTGGATCAAAGTATTTATATGAACGTTGGGATATTAGTTCTTGCATTTGTGGTGTGATATGTTGATTTCGTTGACGTGTATCATATTCATGTGTGGTAACTAAAATTTTTGTTTCTGGCAGCAGATGGAATAGTGGGTTCTTTTTTTAAGATAATTTTTAAAACCCGTCTTTGGAGGACTTCTAAATGAGTTTTTAGGGCACCACCCCACACTAATAATCCGTATCGAAGATGGCTATCTACTCTACAAGGGCATAATACAGTGTTTTTACTTGCTTTAGTGGTAGTGAGGATGCCAGAACTTTAAACTAGTGGAGAATGAATCTCAGTCTTTGGCATAGAGATTGGATATGAATGTTCCACTTGAGGTGCATATCTATGTGTACTCCCAAATATTTTGAAGATGTTACTGTTCTGTTGGAATGTAAAATTGAATTTTATCGAAGTTAGGAGAAGTTATCCAATTGCAGCAAAATGGTAGGAAGTGTGTTTTATCAACATTAATTGTGAGTAATTTATGATTCAGCCATTTCCAGATTATATGAAACTCTGATGCAACTATATCCCTAAGTTCGTCCCAAGAATTACCTTTGTAAAAAATGGCTGTATCATCAGCGAAACCTCTAGGGATATCCCCCTTAGCCTTCAGCAAAAACATACCGTTCACGTAAATATTAAAGAGAANCCGCATGCTAAATCGGGTAAAATGGCCCACCAATAGGTTAGGTAAAGTGACGTGGTGGGCCGCTGGTGGGCCGCTTTATCTCCTTAGTGCTTATTTTTTCTGCAAACAAATATTGTTTTGTGTTATTTTAGGTATGCCAAATAAATACACAGGATGTCACAGCAGCAGGAATGCAGTTCAGAGGCAATGGATAAAGCTATATACATGCTATACGAAAAGGTGCAAGCAAGCAAAACTTTTGGTTTTCCTCGAACACCGTTCAAACGGCGTGTACACGGAAAAAACATAGACGCCGTTGAAAATATAAAAATACTGTAGTTTCGTCGTCCAATTTTTAGTCCAAAACAAAAGGAAGAATTGGTGCAACATATTTTAGGACTGGAAAACTTTGAATCAGGACGTTAATATAACAGCTGCCAGATAACACCAGCTGCACTTACTTAAACCCACAATCCAGAACATCCTTCGCAATATCGCCTTGCAACATATTTTCGATTCCCAAAGCATTGCCTAAGACTAGAAATGTAAATAGAAAGAGAAGGGCGTACGGTAATTTTAACCAGCAGCCCATATAAAAATGAGTTGCAAGAAGAAACAATGCAGCGCAAGTACAAAAGAAAGCTACAAAGAGAATGAACCAACCCCAACTAAAACTGCCAAAAAACGTTGCAAAAAAGAAAAGTGACAAATATACTGACGACGATGATGCCATAGATGATGACCCTGAATGCTTTCACTATGGCAAAGTTTGGTCTAAATCAAAACATGAAGATGGTTGGATACAGTGTTCTAGTTGTAAGCGATGGGTCCATGAGGCGTGCTCGGGTTGTGATTTGAACGATGATAACTTTCATTGTGAATTTTGTTCCTAAGAATATTTTCTATTAGGTTCGATTATGAATGAACAAATACAAATGAAGAGGTTGTTACTTATATTCTATAGATTAGTAACTGAAAGTTGATTTAATTTGTTATTAATGAATAATTGAGAAGAAGCTAACAAGTTAAGACTTGATTTTTGCAATTAATATAAAAGGCTATTAATATTTAAATTAAGAAAAATGAAAGACTGTTGATTGTTGTGAAGTAATATGTAGAATGACATACCTTTTCAGTGAAGAGCTGTTGTTTAAGTTAAATATTTTTCCATGCAAAATTTCAATAAATCTTCATTAAAATAACATAATTTTGATGTTTTATTATTTGAAGTAGGTCACTTTTCCCGTTTATGAATTTGTATATGCCATTTTAGGTGAAGTAGTCAATTTCCCATTTCGACTTCAATCTTAAATTATGCTAAAATGATCAGAATATTAGTCTGTAAACAATATAATATCAAAACTTAATAAGTACACGGATTAAAATAAACAAACTGTAAAAAGTTTGACATTCATTCGGTTGGCGTGGGTTCAAAGCTTAGGGTGGCCACTTTACCCTACCTTCCCCTACATGTGGCAGATACCCAACGGAAAATGCTTGCACGGTCGAGCCAACGTCAAATAATGAATCTTCGAGGGATGAAAAAGAAGATGACGGATGTTTCACCACTATGTTCGAAAATGTGAAAGTGGTTCAAGATATGAACCCTGAAGATGCTAGTAATACAGTAACCAATAATGGTAACCAAAACAAGTGTCACATTTGCGGTCTCGCCCTTGGAGAACCAATGATGTATACCATTCATATGGGTTACCATGGCTTCAGTAACCGATTTACGTGGAATATGACTCCTGAAGAATGCAAAGAGAGGCTTTCTGTCCAATTAAATCTTGCACGGCAATCCCACATACAGTTGCCAACATTATCGAGACGATTCTAATATCTAGTCATTTTATTCTTTTATTCCAGTTGAGTGCGTTCGCATTTGTGCAATTTAATTTCTAATGCAAGTACGGAATTGATACCGCTCATAATCATTATGGAAGTAAATTTGCCTCATCTTCTAGGTCATTTTTTAATTTATTTGTAAATCATGTATCACAGCTCTAATGTCCAAATGTCATTAACGAACCGTCGGCGTCTTTTTAAATTTTTGTTAGTTTGTGAATTGTCTGTTAATAAAAAATATTTATTTTGATAGATTGGTAGGGCAATCTCCTTAAGACTGATTTGTATATGTATATTTTTTAATAGTATCAGCTAGACTAGCTAGAAGAGCAACCAATAAAACGTGTACAGGTATTATAATAGTGTACGAGTATATGTATTAAAGATAATTACTCTTTAAACAAATTATGAAGTTTGATAGATTGGTAGGGCAATCTCCTTAAGACTGATTTGTATATGTATATTTTTTAATAGTATCAGCTAGACTAGCTAGAAGAGCAACCAATCAAACGTGTACAGGTATTATAATAGTGTACGAGTATATGTATTAAAGATAATTACTCTTTAAACAAATTATGAAGACAGGAAATTAAATACATTTTGACTACTTGATAATTTCAGTCTTTGTTTTTTCCTATCCCAGGCTATAATTTGAAAGAGGGGTACAATTGACAATGTTCAGTACAGTTGAATTATAAGTAAAATTGGAAATACGAGTTAGTCTAATAAGTACACCAAGTTTCACATCATCGAGACATAATTGATTTGAAAATATTCAGTAGAAAAAATTCCAATCCAGTTGAGCAAAACTGAATTCTGGAAGTAAATAATTATTTTCCTCTTGATCACTTAAATGATCGATGATCACTTAGTGATCGAAACACGTGTCGATGTGTTGAAATAACGGTTTGGTGTTAGAAATTATCTATAAAGATGTGTAGACGATGCACAAAACTTTCTTTGGGATACAAAGGAGAATAGAAAATTCATCCGAAACAACTACTTTCAAATGTATGAACATTTAATTATTATTACTGGAGTTTTGTCTCAACACCAAACCGTTATTTTCAACACCTCGACACGTGTTTCGATAATCTTCCTCTTGAAGATGATCACTTGGTTATCGAAACACGTGTCGAGGTGTTAAAATAACGGTATAGTGTCGAAAAAAAACTCCAGTAATATTCAATACTACACCAAAGGTTCCAAACACTTCATCTCAAGATCACATTGATATCATAAATAATTTCAATAGTTAAATTTAGATCGTAGTATTACTGATTTTATTTTGTTTCAAGTCATAATTCAATTAAAAAAAAGTATCCATGTAATAATTATTTTTAGTATACTGGGTATTTCCTAACTACGGTACAAACTTTGGAGGGTAATTCATTAGGTCGTTTTAAGAAATGAAGTTATTTGAACATATGTACGAATTTTCTTTGTTTCTGAAATACAGGTCGTTGTAGTCAAAAAAAAATGTATTCATAAAATATAAATATCCTTACACCGATTTGTTTGAAGGCGCTCATTTAGCCCGAACTAGATTGAAATTATTAGGTCCAGTGGCGTCTCAATGTGCACCACAGCCAACAATATTGAGAAAAAAAAACTCCACTGACTGTTTTGTGGTTTTTTATTGTTTTAGATTAAGCAACAAAAAATAAAACTTTTTCGTCACTTATGTTCTCTTCATACCTTGATTCGTTTTCGAGAAAAACTCACTTCTAGAAACCGTCCATATGGACAGAATAAGATAAAAATCGAAAGTAAATAATAGACAATTTTGACCTTAAAATAAATGAGCAACGTATCCACTTTCTGATAAAATACACGACTGCAATCGATTTGTCATTGATTGTCTGACACGTTCAAAATTACCTGGAGTATTTCTTTTGACATTGCTATTGCCAATTATTCGATTCCTCAAGTCATTCACATTTAGTACAGGACTTTCATGATAACAAGAGCCTTCAGATGACCCCATAAATAGCAATCCAAAGAATTCATATCAGGACTGCGAGCTGGTCAATTTTTAGGTCCTGCACGTCCAATCCAGCGATTAGAGTAGGTGATGATGCTGACGAGCAAGAACACTAAAATGAGCTGAGGCCCCGGTTCAAGTAGGTACCGACACTTCTAACAAAATCATTGTGTGCCATTGTATGAATCAACCACCTGCAAAACATATCTTGGGTGAAAATCCCGACGCAGTAGAGCTTGGACCCGCTGTAAGTGATATTGGTATAGGTTTTTTTTGAACTGTCCATACGGTTTTTGGGCTGACTTCCAGCTGCAGTGCAATCTTTCAGGTACTATTTGATGGTTCGTCTTGTATAGCATCAAGTATAGCTTCTTCTAGTTCTGGCATTGTTACAGTCCATCGTCTCCCATCACTTGCATTTTTATTAAAACTGCCAGTTTCACATAATCTTGCATGTAGCGTTCTAAATGACACATGGAATTACTCTGGTAAGATATCTGGTAAATTCTCCGTACTACTTCCGTATTTCCATTTGCTAATCCATTAATAAAGTGCATGTCAGCCATTTCAGTGTTAGTGAAATTATTCATGATGGAATCACTGCTAATTGACAACTCTGACTTTCACTGATATGACAACACTATCACTGTCAGCTGGTCTCCAAAGCAGGTGTTCAAGGTATGCAAAGTGGCTTCAATTTTTTTTCTCGAAACCTAAGCTAGATATAAAGAAAATACAAGCGACGAAAAAGTTGTAGTTCAGTTGAATTATCTAAAATCGAAAAGATTTTTTGTAAACGACCTAACGAATCATCATCTGAAGTTTCGTACAGTAGTTAGGAAATACCCTGTATAATATTATTTTTCATCTCCGTATTTCATAAATTTTTGAAAATTATTTGATGGACATATCCAAACAAATTGACTAAATTTTAATTGCCCTCAAAAGTACCTGATTATGTATTTACCTGAATAATACTTTTGGTATTTTCTTACCTGTCGAGACTATTAATTCTGAAGCATTTTCAGTTTATGTCATAGTCAAAGATATATCTTGTTCATACAAGAACGAATATATTTTTTTAAATAAAGTTTTAGTGTTCTACGTTCGTCTCAAATTGAAAGGGTAAGTGTAAAAATTGATTATTCCTAAAGCATTTATTTTTGAAAAGAAAATCTCACAAAGTTGTTAGATTCATAATTGACATCTTCAAAAAAATAGATTCATTTTCCATTGCATCTCATTTTTGAGGCCTCGTAAAGGCGTTAATGTTCAAAACTACTTATTTTACTAGTATATTAATTTCGTTGTTGTACTGCACTTTCTTAATAATTTTTTGAAAACGTCAAATATATTCAGCAAAACAGCGTCTGGTCGTAAAGACGTTAAAGTCACCTTTTTTTGTTCATAACATTTTATGGTGATAATGGGGGTTGGTTCGACTTTTTTTATATTGCGAATGTTAGCTAGACACAGTTAAATTTCATTCTAAAAAGCAGGTGGATGGTAAAAAAAATTGCAACTGCTTTATGCAAGAAGGGTTTATTTTTACTGGTTTACTGGAGGCAAAAATATTGTATTGAGATAATGATTTGTCAGTGACCTTTAAATACAATCGTGTTTTTCCCAATGTACGAAATGTGTATATTGCCCGCTACAATTTTTGCCGAGCGCTTCTCAAGCCACAATCCAGGCCGTAACCCACGCTTTCCAACCAGTTGAAAAAAAGTTTCGAGTATGCCCTTCACGGTCAAGCCAACGTCAAATAATGAATCTTCGGGGAATGAAGAAGATGATGGATGTTTCACCACTATTTTCGAAAATGTAGAAGTGGTTCAAGATATGAACCATGAAGATGCTAATAATTCAGTAACCAATAATGGTAACCAGAACAGTTGTCAGTTTTACGGTCTCACCCTTGGAGATCCAATGATGTATACCATCCATATGGGTTACCATGGCTTCAGTAATTCATTTACGGCCATTATGACTCCTGACGAATGCAGAGAAAGACTCTCTATACAGTTGCATCTTGCACGACAATCCCACATACAGTTGCCAACATTATTAAGATGATTCTAATATCTAGTCAATATATTCTTTTAGCCAGACTAGCTAGAAGAGCAACCAATCATACGTGTGCAGGTATTATGATAGTGTACGAGTATATGTGTTTTTGTGATAATTACTCTTTAAACCAATGATATAGACAGGAAATTGAATACATTTTGAATAACTGATGATGTATGTTTTTGTTTTTCCCTATCCAAGGCTATCATTTGAAAGAGGGATACAGTTGAAACTGTTCAGTACAGTTGGATTTTAAGTAAAATTGGAAATACGAGTTAGTCTAATAACTACACCAAGTTTCACATCAATGAGACATAATTGATTTGAAAATATTCAGTGGAAAAAATTCCAACCCTGTTGAGCAAAACTGAATTCTGGAAGTAAGTAATTATTTTCCTCTCCAAAACAACGATTTTGTTGCTCGTGCCGATCCCTAAAAATCGCAAATAATGCTATCGTGATATAAAGGCAGCAAGCTAACTCAATAAATTATAAACTTTTTTTTAATCTTTACAGAAGATTTAGTTACTATTTAGTTGCTAAACCTTGGATATCTTCCAAACATTTCTAAAGAATTTTTTTNGCGATTTAATTTTTTTTTATTTTCCACGTTCTTGCTATAATGATACTGGTTTTCCTGGGAAGATAAAGTGTATTACATTTTTGTCTAATCAGGAGGGTACTCAAATACACTTCGAGAATTAGCAACAAAATAGTTGGCCTGATCGGCCATTTTTTAATATTTTTTTTAATTCTCCCTGTTCTTGCTATATTGATACCGGTATTTTCTGGAATACGGAGGGTACTCAAATACACCTTGAGTATCAGCAACAAAATAGTTGAAACCGATCGGCAGATTTTTTCATTTTTCTCATTCTTGCTATCTTGAAACTGGTTTTCTTTGGAATGAAAAATGTTTTAAATTTTTTGCTCATCAGGAGGGTACTCGAATACAATATGAGAATCAGCAACAACATAGTTGGCTTTGATCGGCCGATTTTCAATATTTTTTCAAATTCTCCCTGTTCTTGCTATCTTGAAACCGGTTTTTTTTGGAATACAGAGTATTCTGAATTTGTTGCTCACCAGAAGCATACTCAAATAACCCTTGCTACTAAGTACTGCCACTCTCTCAAACTCCAATTGCGTAAGTATAAACATACACAAGAAACGGTTCTGAATGCAGATGGCACTCCAAATCCTTTGCAAGTTATTGATGTGTATGGTTCCAAACGAGGACCTAAGGTGAAACAGCAAAGTCAGAAACCTACTGAAGCTGCTACTTCGAACCCTGATCCAATCATACCCTTTCCTCCTAACCCATTGGTGCTGAATGCAAATCCACAAGATCAGGATCCGAGACTGTTGGAAAACTTGAAGAGGCAATCTGCAGCTTCGGTGCCGGGCGCTTCTCAAGCCACAATCCAGGCCGTAATCCACGCTTTCCACCGAGCTGAAAAAAAAGTCTTGAGTATGCCCTTCATGGTCGAGCCAACGTCAAATAATGAATATTCCGGGGATGGAGAAGATGATGGATGTTTCACCACTATTTTCGATAATGTAGAAGTGGTTCAAGATATGAACCCTGAAGATGCTAGTAATTCAGTAACAAATAATGGTAACCAAAACAGTTGTCAGTTTTGCGGTCTCACCCTTGGAGATCCAATGATGTATACCATCCATATGGGTTACCATGGCTTCAGTAATCCATTTACGNTGTTGCTGATACTCGAAGTGTATTTGAGTATGCTCTTGGTGAGCAACAAATTCAGAATACTCTGTATTCCAGAAGAAACCGGTAAGAACAGGAAGAATTTAAAAAAATATTAAAAATCGGCCGATCAAAGCCAACTATTTTGTTGCTGATTCTCGGAGTGTATTTGAGTACCGTCCTGATGAGCAAAACATTTAAAACACTTTTCATTCCACGGAAAACCCGTTTTAAGATAGCAAGAATGAGAAAAATGAAAAAATAAAATTAAAAAATCAGCCGATCGGTTTCAACTATTTTGTTGCTGATACTCAAGGTGTATTTGAGTAACCTCCGTATTCCTGAAAATACCGGTTTCAAGATACCAAGAACAGGGAATATTTAAAAAAATATTAAAAAATGGCCGATCAAGGCCAACTATTTTGTTGCTGATAATAACTTGTTCTGAATTACTTGAATCTGTAACATTCATGTTCCGAACAGGAATCTTAGACACAGCCATTTATTTCATATACCCTTCCATCATACAAATTATGGCAAACATACACCCTCGGAAAGAACCCTAAAGTTGGTAGATGACAAAAACATCAGTGGTGTCTCTTATGGTCGTTTTAAACAATCATTTAACTGAATTAGGTATACCTCTGATTGGTAATTTAAAGTGACTCCTTGGGAAATTTTTCATTTTATACATGTCGAAAATATTTATTTTGGAGCAATTTTCAGTTCATAAGAATAAAAATGCAGGTTTTTTCGTAGGTGATTCGTATAGTGATTCTTTTCACAAACCCAATATGTCATTTCTGGACCAATTCTATTCTTGAATTGTTCTCTGAAAGAAGAATTAAAATTGAAAATCAAAATGAATCGCTGTAGATAACAATTATATTAAGCAAATAGAGTTGTACGATTAAAATAAATCTAAAGATTTCAAAACAAGTTATTTCACAACGTTTCGATTGTTGGTATTCACAATGATGAAATTGAAAATGAATCGCTGAAGAACAAACAAAATGAAATGAAATTAAACTTATATTAAGCAAAAAAGTTGTACAGTATAAATGAATTGGAAGATTGCAAGGCAAGTTATTTCACAACGTTTCGATTGTTGGAATTCACAATGGTATTCAATACAGACTCAAACAACAGGTTTTAAACAGATTTTTTTATATGATGCGCGATATGGGTCAAAGCTCCTTTACGCACCGCCCAGTTCAGATTCGATGATGTCACCGAAAGTCCCCGAAACTGAGGTAGAGAACTCAACCCCACTAGTACAAATGACAAAGGATGATTTGAGGAAGCCTCAAACAATCTTAGAGAAGGACATATGCATGTCAACGATGTTGTCTCCAAAGCCAAGCGAATGCCGAGTAAAATACGTTGAAGAAGGAAAAATATGACCAAGAATTGGGGATCCCCAAGAAACACTCTCGCGGCAAAACGAATACCTACAAATGCAAGCGTTGCCCTTTTGTTGCTACAACCAAAATTGATTTCTGGAAACACTCCAGAATACATATAGAAGACGACAAGGTCCCTATATGTGCAAAATGTCCTTACAAATAACTTATTTCTTAATGTAAATAAATGCCATTTTATTACTTTCTCAAGAGTTGGTAGGAAACTCGATACATCATACAATACAGTTAGCACTCAGCATACACTTCCTCCATAAAAGATTTGGGGGTAATTTTTGACGAACAACTCAAATTTGTAAACCATAATAACCAAGTGAGTATGAGATCATCCAAAACACTGGGTCTTATTTTACGTCATTGTTCAGGATTTTCCATTGAAGCATTAAAAAGGATCTATTTAGCTCTAGTGGTGTCTGAGTTAGAATATGCATGTATCATTTGGTCTCCATTTTACAATGTGCACTGTGTGTCTCTAGAAAGAGTGCAAAACAAATTTTTGGGATTTTGTTTTTTCAAGTTGGGTCTTCAAATACAGTACCATGACTATTCGAGTATATTACAAAAAGTGGGGCTGAAACTATTGCAAACCAGAAGAATTCATGCAGATCTATGCTATGCATTTAAGCTGCTCAATGGACTGATAACTTGTCCTGAATTACTTGAATCTGTCAACATTCATGTTCCGAACAGGAATCTTAGACACAGCCATTTATTTCATATTCCATCATACAAATTATGGCAAACATACACTCTTGGAAAGAACCCTAAAGTTAGTAGATGACAAAAACATCAGTATTTTTGGTGTCTCTTATGGTCGTTTTAAACAATCATTGAATAATTTAAGTTTATTGATTATTCCTAAAGCATTTATTTTTGAAAAGAAAATCTCACAAAGCTGTTAGATTCATAATTGACATCTTCAAAAAAATAGATTCATTTTTCATTGCATCTCATATTTGAAGCCTACAATTTTTTATCAAAAGAATGTTTTATGCAATTTCAACGTGACTGATGAGATTGTTCTACTTCATAGGGTTTTTTCACTGTGTATCATAGCTTTTGAAGTCATAGTCGTATTCACGTTATTATTGAGTAAAAATGTAATCAAAAAGAGCAACCAATCATACGTGTGCAGGTATTATAATAGTGTACGAGTATATGTATTTAAGATAATTACTCTTTAAACCAATGATATAGACAGGAAATTGAATACATTTTGAATAACTGATGATGTATGTTTTTGTTTTTCCCTATCCAAGGCTATCATTTGAAAGAGGGGTACACTTGACACTGTTCAGTACAGTTGGATTGTAAGTAAAATTGGAGATACAAGTTAGTCTAATAACTACACCAAGTTTCACATCAATGAGACATAATTGATTTGAAAATATTTAGTGGAAAAAATTCCAACCCAGTTGAGCAAAACTGAATTCTGGAAGTAAGTAATTATTTTCCTCTCCAAAACAACGATTTTGTTGCTCGTGCCGATCGCTAAAAATCGCAAATAATGCTATCGTGATATAATGGTAGCAAGGTAACTCAATAAATTATAAACTTTTTTTTAATCTTTACAGAAGATTTAGTTACTATTTAGTTGCTGAACCTTGGATATCTTCCAAACATTTCTAAAGAATTTTTTTATATTTTTTCTGATCTTGCCATCTTGAAACTGTTTTTTTCTGGAATACAGTGTTTTTTGAATTTGTTGCTTACCAGGAGTGTACTCAAATACAACTTGAGTATCAGCAACAGAATAATTGAAACCGATCGGCCGATTTTAATTTTTTTTTTATTTTCCACGTTCTTGCTATCTTGAAACTGATTTTCCTTAGAATAAA